AACTCAGCCATTTGATCAACCACCTAAAGGACCCTGCAGGATCTCTGCCTGCAAACAGACTGTATTATGGGAATGCTCTAATTCCTCCTGGTGAGGATTTTTGGTGCTGTAAAAATAAATAAATGTTTATTTATACTTTTGAAATGACTAATGTTTACTTTTATTTTTAAATGTGTGTCAAAAGTGTATATAAAAAGCATTCTTTACATTTTTATTTTTTGTGAATTTCACTTTTATCTTCAAAATATTTCCCACTATCATTTATTTGCAAAGGGATGTATTGTTGAAAGAAAGCTAATTTATCAATATATTATCAAATTATCCATTATTTAGTATAAATTAACTTCTTAAAAGGAAGAAGTTTTAGCTGTGGATGTTGATTTTTAATAGATATCTGTAATAATTGATTTAATTGACTTGTTAATTTGAGCTATTTGGAAGGGCATCCAATTTATAGATTTTAAACGGTGCTAAATGGTCTAATGTAGTAATTAATAACCAAAAATATTCTTCATATTGCATATGAAAGAAAATAAATTATATTTTATAGAGTTACTTTAAAAAGAATATTAGTTATTTCTGTAATATAGAGTGATGTAACAAAACAAGTCTGAACAAGAAAAGTAGTTGAGTAATTCAAAGGGGAACTCCAAAATGAACCATCATTAATATTTTAATTTAATATTTAACTTTATCATAATCCATATTCTTAGCACTGGTGCCTTGCAGCCAGAAGGTTCTGGTTTCAGATTCTGCATGGAGTTTGAATGTCCCCTTGTGTCCATTGGCTCTTACCAGGTCCTTCAGCTTCATAGTCCAAAAACATGCAAGATGGTTTTACAGAGACCAACTACAGATTTCCAGTTCCATGAAGCAGCTCATGATGCGAGTCAAGTTTTGGGTTTTAGGGAGGTTCTACACTGGAAAATCACAAAATTATTGTCTAGTTTCTTGTGCAAATATCTTAGTAAATAAATAAACTTAAAAATAGCTTTTAAACAAGATATAGGAGTTGGTTTTAGCGAGTTGGCCAATAATTCCTTAATAGTATTGAAAAAGTTGACTAGATTGTGGAATGGAAGATACTTTAAATCACTTCCACAAGATGATGAGTCTAATGGCTCTGGAAATCTGGTGGCCGGGCGGCTATAAGCAGCCTGTTTATGATAAAAGATTCTTAATACGCCATAACACGGATCATGTGGTAGATATCTAACCGCTGGTTCGGTTTTATAACAGTTTGCATCTCTCCAGTTCAGAACGAACGGGTGAATTTTGACTCTAACGGTTTGCCATACTTATCAATAACTCCACCTTTTTATGTCTGACCCGTTTTATGTTCCGGGTTACACCGGCTTGGCAGAGAGAAGGCATGTCTTTTGGAACTACGACCATCTCTTAATGAAAATGTTCCTGCGAGTGAAGAAAACGTCTAAGAATGTTTGGAGGGTTTTCATAATTTTTTTAGTTTCTGTGGAGAAAGTTCACGGTTAGTAAAACTTTTTCTCTAACTGTCCGGGAAGTTTACTCCCGCTGTCGTCCTTTCATTTGTCAACAAATTGACATATCAACACCTACAGATGCTGATTGTTACCGGAGGTTGGAGGTCGGCCTGTAGTTTGTGCAGATTGTACAGTAACTGCTGTTTCCAAAGCCTGGGGGAAACACCGGATGAAAGCGATGAGTTACTATTCAGGATTATTAGCAACGACAGGCAGGACTTTAAGAAAAGGTGTGGATAGGATAACAAGACAGCAGGAAGAGGAGCTTCATTTATTTATATATATTTTTCTAGGGTTTTATAGTAAAGTAGTTGAAAATGAGTCATTCTGCATTTATGTCTGGGTACAGCATTGGAACTGGGTTTAGTGTGGCTGATTAATCCTCTGACTTTTTTTATTTTCTCTGAAAAGAATTTGGCAAACTCGCTGCAGGCCGTGTTTGATTCAGGAGGTGACGTCACTGGAGGGCGTGCGAACCTGTCAACTGTTGCAAATAAAACTTGAGCATCGTTCATGTTTTGGTTTGATTTCCACCAAGAACATCTCCTTGCATGTTTTAGTTGAGTGATAGTCTTTATAGATTTCATAATAAACGTGAAGTTGAGTTTTACGTCATTTACGTTCGGCTCTACGGCAGAGTTGCTTAGTTGATCTAACTGTGCATTTCTCCATGGAGACTTGATCCTATCAGACACAACCTTCACTTTAGTGAAGCACATTGTTTTGTGTCTTGGTGAAATGGGATATTTGCAGCAAAGACTGTAGATTTAATCAGTTGACGAATATTTATTTTACCATCACATCCAAATACAAAACCACTGTGCTTTATTTGCAACGAGAGCATTGTCATGGTTGATTTAAAAAATAAAAACACTTGGTCTATTATTTAGATTTAACATACAATAAAAAAACAACTTGAAAGGACTTGAAATTCCAAGTTTCAGACTTGAGACTTGCAAAACACTGACTTGTCCCACCTTTGCATTGTAATAATACTGTCATCTATCGCTGACAGTATTACCTGTTTGTGAATTTTGTTTAAAGTAAATTTTCAGAAAATGTAGAAAGTTGAGAGCACTGACTTTACAACATGAACCATTCTGCATGTTTGTCTGTTTACAGGTGGTTATGAAGTTATTGGTGTGTCTCAGCCAATCAAAGCTGCTCCTGGTGATGATGTCGTCTTGCCATGTTGGGTCAGTCCAATTTGGGATGCGACAAAAAAGACAGTGGAGTGGTCCAGACTGGACCAACGGCAGGACTCAACCAAAAAGTACGTGTTGGTGTACAGGGCCTTGAAGCTGGACAGGAGGCTGATGATGGAGTCGTACATCGGGAAGGCGTCTCTGATCCCCGAGGCCCTGAAATCTGGAAACGTAACCCTGAAACTCACCAATGTGACCGTTGACGACAGCGGGCGGTATAAATGTTTTCTCCCAAGTCTGAAGACACATGCAGTAATTCAACTCTTGGGTGAATAAATGATGTTATCCTTTCTTTCTTTCAAATGGAAAACGCTTCTGACACAAAATTTTCCAAAACAGTCTCAGATTCACCAAAGACTGGAAACCTGTCAAAGCCAAAGGACAGGATTAACATAGAGTCCACAGGTAAAGTGTGCAATATCACACCCTCATTGTGGAAAGAAGCATCTTCAGTTATGTTTTCACCATCATTTAACCTTTCTTCTGCTTTCAGATGAACGGGATTGGTGGAATGTTCTCTGGGCTCCTCTAATATTCATTATCATCGTTTCTTTCCTCTTCAT